AGGATATAGACAAAGGTAGTTGTGCTACTCCTTTAAACTAAAGGTTGAATCTTTGAACAATCTAACCACTGAGTGGCTGGCCCCCATATCGCCAGTGATTGATGTCAACAGGTTACGTATATTATACGATTTAGCGGTCGGGAATCCGATAAGTTATTATAATTCTTTATAGCTTAATACAAAGATGAAATCCATTTGTAAAAAGTTTGTATATGTACATTACAATTTACGATTAAAATTTTCAGTGTCATATTACGAAACGAAGGCCGGTACCCGCGGCCTATTATACAATGGTATAAGATACAATACGAGCAGTTCGAATGAAAAAAAAGAAATTTGGCGATGTACACGTTATAGACAAGGTTGCAAACACAGGATATGGGTAATGGAGGCTCGAATAGTTAAAGAAATAAATTATCATAATCATTAATTTAAGATTTTTATTCGTTTAACTCAGGGATATTTTTACGCTTGGAGTTTGAACGAAAGTAACCTAATGAAATGACACACCACACACTAGTTAAACTACTTTATTATTAATCAATTCAAAAGAGAAGGATCTCATTATTACAATTACAATGTATTCTTTAATGTTAAAACTTCGTTACAATGTGATAAGATATTTCTTGTGAAATATTATACATATTAAGTTCCTTTATAATAATATAGTGACTAATGATAATTAATAAATAATTTTAGTATATTAAAAAAAACGATTTAAGTATAAAAGGAAAATGAATTTTATTTTCGATAAAATTGTCGTTACCAATATTTTTTTAGAACAGTAGAACTACCAGATATTTATTAGCGCACTTCAAAGGGTTTTCCCGTATTAATTGTTTGTGGTAGCTTTTTTCGTGTATAAATTTTTTATTACATTTGCATTCTTGTTGATTTAAACTTTGTAAACAAAATAAATAAAAAACAAAATTCTTTATAGTATATACTTGTCATCAATTCTAGCTTAATACAAAGATTAAACCCATTTGTAAAAAGTTTATATATGTACATTACAATTTTACGATTAAAATTTTCAGTGTCATATTACGAAACGAAGTGCGGTACCCGCGGCCTATTATACAATGGTATAAGATACAATACGAGCGGTTCGACTGGACAAAAAGAAATTTGGCGATGTTCACGTCATAATCGAGGTTGCAAACACAGGATATGGGTCATGGAGGCTCGAGTAGTTAAAGAAATAAATTATCATAATCATTAATGTAATATTTTTATTTGTTTAACTCAGGGATATTTTTACGCTTGGAGTTTGAACGAAAGTAACCTAATGAAATGACACATCACACACTAGTTAAATTACTTTATTATTAATCAATTCAAAAGAGAAGGATCTCATTATTACAATTACAATATATTACGATTAACAATACTTTGAAAACTCAAGATTTTTTGACATCTCATTTCGGGCTGTTTTAGCTAGAGTAGCTCGGTCAGAATAGGCCTTCCCGCATCTAACGCAAGGTCGTCACGGGTTCAACAAAAAAATCCAATCCTTATCCCTTATATTTCTATGGCGTCGTTTTGTTTTCCCGTTCACACACGAACAACGCCATATGTTGATAAATAAGTAATTGAAAATGAAATTTAAAAGATAAATTTAGACAGAGTTAGTTCTATTAAGAAAATGATTACTCAGAAGTCCAGTCCGTACTTCCTAATTATTGCTTTTTTTTAATTTAATCAAACTATCTTCGTCTTGATAGCAATCGCTATTTCCTAATTTATTCACTGATACGGATATTAGGATATAGACAAAGGTAGTTGTGCTACTCCTTTAAACTAAAGGTTGAATCTTTGAACAATCTAACCACTGAGTGGCTGGCCCCCATATCGCCAGTGATTGATGTCAACAGGTTACGTATATTATACGATTTAGCGGTCGGGAATCCGATAAGTTATTATAATTCTTTATAGCTTAATACAAAGATGAAATCCATTTGTAAAAAGTTTGTATATGTACATTACAATTTACGATTAAAATTTTCAGTGTCATATTACGAAACGAAGGCCGGTACCCGCGGCCTATTATACAATGGTATAAGATACAATACGAGCAGTTCGAATGAAAAAAAAGAAATTTGGCGATGTACACGTTATAGACAAGGTTGCAAACACAGGATATGGGTAATGGAGGCTCGAATAGTTAAAGAAATAAATTATCATAATCATTAATTTAAGATTTTTATTCGTTTAACTCAGGGATATTTTTACGCTTGGAGTTTGAACGAAAGTAACCTAATGAAATGACACACCACACACTAGTTAAACTACTTTATTATTAATCAATTCAAAAGAGAAGGATCTCATTATTACAATTACAATGTATTCTTTAATGTTAAAACTTCGTTACAATGTGATAAGATATTTCTTGTGAAATATTATACATATTAAGTTCCTTTATAATAATATAGTGACTAATGATAATTAATAAATAATTTTAGTATATTAAAAAAAACGATTTAAGTATAAAAGGAAAATGAATTTTATTTTCGATAAAATTGTCGTTACCAATATTTTTTTAGAACAGTAGAACTACCAGATATTTATTAGCGCACTTCAAAGGGTTTTCCCGTATTAATTGTTTGTGGTAGTTTTTTCGTGTATAAATTTTTTATTACATTTGCATTCTTGTTGATTTAAACTTTGTAAACAAAATAAATAAAAAACAAAATTCTTTATAGTATATACTTGTCATCAATTCTAGCTTAATACAAAGATTAAATCCATTTGTAAAAAGTTTATATATGTACATTACAATTTTACGATTAAAATTTTCAGTGTCATATTACGAAACGAAGTGCGGTACCCGCGGCCTATTATACAATGGTATAAGATACAATACGAGCGGTTCGACTGGACAAAAAGAAATTTGGCGATGTTCACGTCATAATCGAGGTTGCAAACACAGGATATGGGTCATGGAGGCTCGAGTAGTTAAAGAAATAAATTATCATAATCATTAATGTAATATTTTTATTTGTTTAACTCAGGGATATTTTTACGCTTGGAGTTTGAACGAAAGTAACCTAATGAAATGACACATCACACACTAGTTAAATTACTTTATTATTAATCAATTCAAAAGAGAAGGATCTCATTATTACAATTACAATATATTACGATTAACAATACTTTGAAAACTCAAGATTTTTTGACATCTCATTTCGGGCTGTTTTAGCTAGAGTAGCTCGGTCAGAATAGGCTCTTCCCGCATCTAACGCAAGGTCGTCTCCTGCGAGACTCGGACCTCGGCTTGGGCCGTCACGGGTTCAACAAAAAATCAAATCCTAATCACTATATATTTCTATGGCGTCGTTTTGTTATCCAGTTCATACACGCACAACGCCAAAAACGCAAATTTAGACAGAGTTAGTTCTATTAAGAAAATTATTACTCAGAAGTCCAGTCCGTACTTCCTAATTATTGCTTTTTTTTAATTTAATCAAACTATCTTCGTCTCGATAGCAATCGCTATTTCCTCATTCATTCACTGACACGGATATTAGGATATAGAGAAAGGTAGTTGTGCTACTCCTTTGAACTAAAGGTTGAATCTTCGAACAATCTAACCACTGAGTGGCTGGCCCCCATATCGCCACTGCTTGATGTCTACAGGTTACGTATATACGAGTACTTAGCGGTCGGAAATCCGATAAGTTTTTGAGCCTTTTTTTATGTAATAGAAGGCAAACGGGCAGAAGGCTCACATGATGTTAAGTGATACCGCCGCCCATGGACTCTTACATTGCTCGCAAGTGCGTTGCCGGCCTTTCATCAATTGAAACGCTCTTTTCTTGAATGACCCTAATTCGAATTGGTTCGGAAAAACTTCAGTGGGCAGCTGGTTCCACATAGTGGTGGTGCGCAGCAAAAACTGCCTGAGAAAACGCTCAGTTATGGAACAACGGACGTCGAGGTGATACGGATGGTATTTTGTATTTTGCCTTGACGTCCGATGATAAAACTCAGCTGCAGGTATTAGACCGAACAACTCTTCTTAACACTACTTACTAGTCGTAGTCTACTTAGAGGGTTCTAGTTTTCACCCAAATAGTTGTTAACAGAGGCTTAATATAGTTTTTCTTTCAGCAATATTTGTCAAAAATAAAAAAGGCAACACGGTATTATTTTACGACGGCGCAAGATACAATAAAGAGGTCAATAGAGGAAACAAATTTTTTTGGAGATGTACAAAAAGAAATTATGGATGCAAATGTAGATTATGGACAGTTGATAATAAGGTTATTAGAATAATTAATGAGCACACACATCCGAAGAATGCTTTGGTAAACGTAAACTATTTACTTCAATAACTGGGTATTGAATGTTTAAATGAAAATATAGTCTGGCGAATAAATTATTAAGTTGAATGTAAAGAACTATTCCTGTATTCTTTAGCTAAAAAATAACATATATGTATTTTAATATTTAATAAAATTTACCAAACATCATTTTTTATTTATTATTCTTTCAACAAACTTAGATATATTTATTGAAAAATTATTGGTATTTAGTAATCATTACAATCAAATATACAGTATTTAACAATTTTTGTAACCTATATAGGTATAATAAAAATAATTTAAAACAAATTTAACAAGTATGGTCCCTGTGGCAGTGTACCTTTAACGCTGGCAGCATTTCCTCGCTATATTGCGACTTATTCGTTGAGCGAGGAAAGCACCCGCTCTGAGGTAACCGATACTATCTACCAGGCGCCTACTTAAATCTTTAACTACCGACTGTGCCTTGAACCCCACGACCCAAGAGTCTCTACTCCAAATGGAACAAAATTGAAGTTTTTGGAAAGACTCATTACATTTGAGCCGTTTTTTATTTAATTTTATATGCGAGAAAATGTAGGATATAATATGAATAATGTAAGAATTCTGTTGAAACTCTTAATGATCGCTCATGAATTCGACTTATGCACGTATAACAATGATTGTCCTACGTTTATATTTTTTTTTATTTTAGTTATGAGGTTCACGACTTCCCGCTACGGACAACCCGTCCTAGAAATGGGTAAATATAGATACAACAAAAACAATTCCAGCAGAGGATCGAAAATTCTATGGAGCTGTAGTAGGAAAAATTATTGTAGAGCAAACATAACAACATATGATAATGTCATTATTAAGAAGAATTTGGCTCACAATCATTAAATAAAAATGTGTTTTGTCGCGTTCTTTTACTGTCAAAATGAAAATGACAAATAGCTAATTGCTTTTATTATAATAATTGTTTTTTTATAAAAGACATGAATTAAAAAATATATGTTATAATATTTAATGTTTTTTACTACCTCGAGAGCGCAAGCGCACTGCAACCTCCATCTTTCCAACTGCCGTTTGTTGATAGTAAACGATTATGTATGTACGACTCAATCTTTTAAAGTGAGGTCAAATTTGGATGCCAGCATAAATGAACCCTGCTTTCGAACAAAAGTATTTGCTAAGAGTTGTCAACTGACTCGTGAACCTGAATTGATGAAAAAGAAGAATTCACAAAATAGTGAAAAGTTTTATACAAAATAAAATTTATATATATAGTATGTTGTTTTATTTTATATAATCTGCTAGTCCTTTCTAGAATGATAATGAATGATAATGAATGTTGTTTGAATACTAGATATAAATAATTAAAAAATAAGATTTAATACTTGTTTATTTTAATTTTACCCTACACTTTAAGTTCTACATCATAATATATAAGGATAAGTACTAATTATGTATTCTTTCAGGTTACCTACCATCAGAATACGAATTGGTACCAAGAGGAGCGAGCTATGTACTACGACTTGGAAAACATACCTTTTCAACCAATTACGCAAATGCAGCTGGAATGAGTATTTGGTATTGCTCCAAGCGGAGGCGACAGAAGTGCAAGGTTCGAATCCGGATGATCAATTCAGACATACTCGATATCCAGGGACTGCACACTCATAACTAGTCAGCGATCTCGTTTTAGATTTATTGCTAAATTAATCTTTTTTAGATCATTAGTTTAGGCTAAGAATATGTTTATTGTCTTGTATATGGTGTATAAACCTGATTTAGGTTCTATTCCCGGCGTAGGAATACAATTTAAGTTCGGTACAGACTGCTGTACAGCTCATCGGAAAATATATAAAACCAACACATTGATACATGATTAAAAGCAAACTTAGATAGTAACGCTTTATTAGTAGATTAAAATTAGTGAGTATTTAAAGAATAACTCAGCGTTTTTTCTGCAACTGTTTAATTAATTATCAATAGGTGGGATTTTTTTAATTTTATTTCTAGAAGGATTAATTGTTTAATGTGGCTCAAATGTTTTGGTTTTCTTAAAATTATTTAAAATCATCCAAGCATCGAAAGTGGTGTGCCGTTATTTATTTAATTTTGTAATATAAAACTGTATTAAAATTAGAAATGTTGTATTCTAGGCTAAGCTTTTAATAGTATGAATAAATAGTTCCAAATATGTAGAAAAATCAGCGTTTAAATTTCTCTTAGAATATTAAGACGTATTAACATGACTTGATGTTATTTGTAAGCTAATATAAAAATTACATGTTCGAATTCTGTCAAGTGAATATAGAAACTTAATTAGCGATGTTGTTTTAATTTTACATTCGTTATGCGATTGGTGCTTTTCAGTCTCTTTTCAGCAAGCATCAGTTTGCGAAGAATTGGCACATCTATGGCTGTAAGGGGGGCCTGGTATGACCAACCTAGAATTTCGTATAACCTCGGTCTGGTACTGCCAGGTTATACGAAATTCTAAAATCTTTAAAAAATAACATTCAGGTCTTTTATGGGTACTTGTTAATCATTAAATGTTCATTTGTTTTATAATTTTCTACTCTAAGGGTGAAGATATAATTGCCACTAGCAAATTTTTTTTATATTTTTAAATTGATGAACGGTGTGCGCATTTCTAGCAGCACTAGGTTTCGCCTAATTATATGTGTTTATGCGCCTATTGTTGACAGTTCTAATACTAATAATAAGCGCGTAATGCTTAGGATAAGCAGAGCTGTCAGCCTGCGCCTGATCTTGCGTTGGCCTTTGACTAAAGGACTGACAATATTAGAATAAACACTTATTTATTTTTTATTTTTAGTTGAGTACGTAGCGTCGAGAACGGGAACGCGCTTACTCAAACTGAACGGTTATACGTACTACGCGACGCAGAGAGCCGGGAAAACAAGATGGCGTTGCTCAACCCATCAATGGAAGGGCTGCAATGCCGCCGTAGTTACGTTTGGAAATCAAGTGCTGTATGCAACTGGAATGCACACTCATCTACCCAAAGAGAAACAGAACTTGCACTATAACTGTCAAATTAAGATCAAAGACGATAGAACTTAAGGCATTAAATTCACATTAGCATTAATTGAGTAATAAGTTATAATATGTAGTCTATCACATTTCAATAAAAATATATATTATATTAATTTTTATTGATATCTAGGTAACACTGAAAATGTTTAGAAAATGAAAAACGGCTTAATGTAGAAAGTTAGTTGCCAATACTTTTATTGTTTTTCGTAGTAATCTCCGTTCCTCTCTACATATCGACGCATTCGATCGAACCACTGAGAAAAGCAGTGAATTTTATCTTTAGTTCTTGGGTATAAAAAGAAAGTCGCAGGGCGCCAGGTCAGGACTGTATGGCGGATGACTCATTATCTCGACACCTACCATAGTCAAATATTCAACAGTCCGTATTGCAGAGTGCGCTGAAGCATTGTCATGGTGAAGGAGGACATACCAGTCTGCAGTAACTGTCCTTCCATCTTCTAGCACAACTGTCGCGAAATGGCTTTTCCGACCAAAGAATGAGGCAATCATCTTTTTTCCTTGACTTCTTCCTTTCTTTACCTTAGTTGGCCGATCCTCGACTGGAAACACCCACTGAGCTGATTGTCTTTTGGTTTCGATTTCGTAGTTATATATCCAGCTTTCATCACCTGTGACGATTTCAAATACAGCATTTGAGTCACCGCCGTTGAACTTATCTAACATTTGGTGACTCCAGTCCATGCGAAGGTGTTTCTGGTCATCGGTTATAGTATGGGGAATCCATTTGTTTATAAGTTCCATAAGTTTCCTGACGCCAATGTTCGTGTAATATTTTTTGAACTTGACTCATACGAATGCCTAGGCTTGCCCGTATCTGCTGATAGGTCACTCTCTTATCTTCCTCTATCATGCGTCGCAGAGCACTTATATTATCTTCAGTAGTCGCTATAAAAAGACGTCCCTCACGCGGATCATCATTGAGATTGCTACATCCACGCTTAAACTTGTTAAACAAATTGTAAATAGTGGCACGAGATGGGCTTCATTAAGAAATGCTAATCGCAGCCTATAATAGCTTTGTTGTTGAGTAAGCCCACAACGAAAGTCATAATAAATCATTGACCGAAAAATTTCTCGGGTTAGGTTCATTTTCACGTGAAACAAGAGTTTTAGATTTGCCGCCAGTTCACAAAAACAAATGACAAATGAATGTCAGAGTTCTAAAATTAATATTCAAAAAAGTTTTCATTAACAATGTTTCTAACCGGCCAGTTCTAAACATTTTCAGTGTTACCACGTATATAAGAGCAGTGTTGCCTAGTAGCTTCAGCGTGCGACAGTTCCCTCAGATCGTTCGATTCCCGGCTGTGCACCAATAGACTTTCTTTCTAAGTGCACATTTAACATTCGTTCAAACGGTGAAGGAAAACATCGTGAGGAAACCGGCTTGCCTTATATCCAAAAAGGCGACGCAGTGTGTCAGCCACAGGAGGCTGATCACCTACATGCCTATTTGACAAATGCTCATGAAACAGATACAGACATCTGAGGCCCAGACCTAAAAAGGGTTGCCACTGGTTTGTTTTTGTTTTCTTTTATTCATTATTATGCGATGATAAATAAAATATAATAGTATTTATATTTTAAAGTTGTTGTTATTAAGATTACTCACTTTTGTAAATACATGCTGTGTACATAGGTTATATATATTTTAAATTGCCTACTAGATGTAAATTTTCGTATTATGAAGTACTTTATGCTCCTATTGCTAGTTAAACATATGTTAATCAATTGACAAAACTAAACAAAAGATTCTGATTCTCAGAAAAAGTTAGAAAAATTGAAGGAAATAGAAAACGATATAGTAAACCCTATACAGTATTTCATCAACACAGAATAAATAAATAGGGTCGAAAAGATTTTCGATCAAACTTCAAGTATTACGTAACGAATTTGGGGGGTCCTTTTGTAAAACGTCACGATGCGAAAGAATTACGCGTGCAGTTAATATTATTTTCGCCTTTTTAGTACGTTACACCACGTAATGGTAACTTTTAGGTATAAAGTCACTAGGTGGTCACGAAACGTTTTACGGGGGGTGTCAATAATCTCCAAAAATTGCGTGACCTAATACTTGAATGCTCCCTTTGACACATTTGTTATCATTAAATAAAGTGAATAATTACTTGATTTATGTATAAACAGGATCGATATTGCACCAAATAGTTACATCACATTTAGGTTAAGTAATAACGTTTTCTTAATCAGAATTAATTCAGCTAAACAAAGTAAAATTGCTTACAGTGCCACATACTTTTCTTGGCCGGCGGCTGAAACAAAACCTATCATATCAGTTGTTCCTAAGTTTGTGTTACATTTATTAAACTGTAACTGTATTTTCTAGATAGTAGTAGGTATACATTTTTTTGTTAAGACATTTCGATAAATTATTAAGTTAGCCTGCATGACTTCAAATGATTCCCATTATAATGGTAAATTTTTATTTACTGGCAATCCATGACAGCGACGCTCTAACCAGCCAATAAAAGTATGTGGCACTCATTGATATACAAAAAACCCAAGATGCACACTCAACGTCAAAAAAACGTCCTCAAAAAATGAGCGCAACATTCTAAATTGTGCGCTCATTTCAAATAGTCTCGCGTCTACAAGTGGAGTCGATGTTATTTATTTGTGTTTTTTTTATAAATAAATTTATGTACTCTTGAACTTCTTTGTGTGTAGTTTTTGACAAATATATTTACGCTATATAAAGTGTGGGTCAGGAGGTAGCCAATTTAACATTTTTTTTTAATTTAAAGAAAAAACTTTTTAACCGGATTAAAGTTATGTATTATTATAAATTGACAACTATTTAACATCCAACACCTTTTGTCTTCAGTCACCGTGACCACTCACGCTGTAAAGCACCCGAAAAGTCGGATAAATTTAAAATTATGTTAAATAGTTGTAAATAAAAAAGTCATGTTCGACTCCACTCAATACCTTGTCCTACCGACCACGGTCGGTCGTAAAATTTTATTGCTTTAAGTACGTATACGCTGCGTTGTAATAACAACTTTAAGCAATTCGCGTAAGGTTGATTTTGCAATAATATATGCTTGTAACATATACTGTTATGGACAGAAATATTGTTTCGGGACACTTTCGAGTGTTACTTTTATATGAGACTGTGCATCTTGGGTTTTTTGTATATCAATGGTGGCACTGTATTATATGCAAATAATATTTGATACTGACATCAGACAGAAAACAATAATCGAAACGTTGCCTGACGTTTCTCATATTTGCATGTTATAAACTTTTTTCATCTCTTTCTGTCGAATTGTGTTTATGCTGTGATGGAACGAGACAGATGAGTACTTAAGTGAAAACAGCGCAATAAAATGTCTTAGTTATATTTGTGAAGCTTGCGTGCATAATTGTTTATTCTTTCATGAAGTCATAAGTTTAAATTCTCTGTGTAATAATTATTAGTGTAAGTTATATAGTAGAAAGCGTAGGATGTTTCTCTATTATGCTGTAAATTCTGATAACCCTGATGTACATTCTAAATTTCATTCAGAATCAAATCCGATATATTATGTAAATAGCAATAACATTATTTTAAACTGTTAAGCACATAATAAAATGAAGTTAAATACTTGAACTTTAACTTATTTAAACCAGGAATAAGTCTACATAAATATTTTTCTATAGGAATCATTACTATGTCAATAAATATTTCTGTTGAATATTTTGGATGGAAAAAGTAAGTAAGAACTTCAGATGATTGGTATTGACAATCTTCAAGTAGTTTTTCCTCCTACGTCGACGTCTACGTACGCATTACCCACGTAAGTACGCGTTTCGACTTGTGCGATTTTTAAGGCAGTTTTACTCGACTACAACTGGAACCAGCCGCCCAAATATTTCCGAACCAATTGCACTTAGGGTCCTTCAAGAAAACAGTTCTCGAGCCCTCTGGCATTGAGAATGCCCATGGGCACTTAACATCAGGTGAGCCTCCTGCCAGTTTGCTGTTGCTTTCTGTTCTATATAAAAAATATTATCTGTGACCAAATTGTTCAAACTCAAAATAACTTTATTCATATAGATAAACAAGTACACTTATGAACGTCAGGAAAGAAGTTACATTAATTCTAAACTTACGTACATTTACTACCAGTTCGCAAGTCAAGGGAGTAGAGCGGGCAAGAAACTTTCCGCCACTCTTTTTAATCGCTAAGTTTGAGTCATACAAAATGTTTGAACTGGAGCAAATCAATCCCAAGGATAAGGATTATTGAAATGTTCGTCAAATTTATAAAAAAAAATTATTGATTAATTTACGTTTAACGAGAGCTTTGAATTTATTTAGTTATAATTCTCTAATTTCGTTTGGGAGTTTGTTGTAAAAACGAATACAATTTCCATATAAGGATTGGTTTATCTTCTGGAGCCTGTTTGGTCGTACGCTCAAATTAGTTCTCTTTCGAGTATAATACTGTGTTCGGTAAAGTGTTGTGTTTAATGTATTATAATTTATTTAAGGTCCAACACTCGTTCAAACGAGCCGCGGTGTGAAGCTTTTATACAAAGGATACGTATATCATAAGAAAAACGAAGGACTATTAGGCCACCATACAAAAGCCACGTGGCGCTGTTCGTCCTGTTGGAAAGGTTGTAAAGCTAGTGTTATTCAATTTCCTAATGAAATCATAACTCGCAACACACACAATCATTAGACCCGTTAGTTATGGTAAAAGCTAATATCGTTTAAAAAGTCAAAAGTCAAAATCATTTATTCATATAGGTAACACAATGTACACTTATGAACGTCAAAAAAGAAATATATATTAAATGCTTCTAATTTTACGTTAATTGCCACTTCTCAAGGGCGTAGAACGGAAGAGAAGAACTGGTAATAAACTCTCCGCCACTCTTTTTAATCGCTAGGTTTTTGTTTAACACAATGTTTGTAAGGAGCTGCGACCATTGCACCATGTTCCACATGACATCTTAAGTAATTAATTATAAAAAAAACAAAGATGTGTCCTCTATCA